CAAAGTTTTTGTCCATGTTGGGGTTGGCTTCGCCTGTATAGTTTTTATGTTGTAGTGGCGGCGATTTTGGCATGTAGATGTTTTGTAGATCTGTCATTAGCTGTTCCTCGTTTCCTTCGTATTCGCGTGTGAGACGACGGATAGTGTGTCTCTGTTCAGTTTTGGTGTTGGTGGGATCTAAAAGAAACCTTAGCAATTTCCACGTTTGTGATGTTCCAATTTGGGTGCCCATGTCCTTACATATCTCCGCCCATTGTTGCTCACACAGCTGCTTGCAGTGACTTTCAATGTCTTTATTAAGCTGTGCTATCTTTTTCCGGATTGTTCTGTTGTGTCTTTGCCTCCGCCATTTGTGTTGTAACGCTTCGTTAGTTCGCCACAGGTGGATTAATCTGTTATCGATGCGCTCAACTGGGATATCTGTTTCTACTTCATGTGTGGCTTTCCTGACAGTGTCTATTATGCTCTCGCACCATTGCTGGATATCGTCAGGATGTTCGGTAATCGTTTTTCTGATATCCCGAAATTTATCCCAGTCAACTGGACGTCTCGTGTTACATATGGTCGTAATCCTGTCGCTATCGGTGAATGGTACGTGTGTTTCGAGTATGCGATGGTCACTTCCTAAATCATCGAATGTGTTGTGCCATGTAGCCCCCGGGGCATTCTTGGTTATTGTAAGATCCGGTGTTGTGTCTCGCTGGGTGCTTGTACCTATGCGTGTGTGTGCATGCGGGTCTGTTATCAAAGTAAGCTGTTCATCTTGTATGCTCTGCCATAACCGTTTCCCTTTGGGGGGGGGTGTAACCATACCCCCATGCCTCGTGTGTGGCGTTAAAGTCCCCTGCTATGATGAGCGGGGCGTTGCCAGCTGATATCACGGCCTGCCTAAATAGAGAGTGAAATTGCTGTCTGTGATTTGACGGACTGCTATATACGTTAAGAATAAATGTGCTGCTCCCTTTTGTTTTTCTAGATAGAAGTTCTGTCATTATATGGTTGTATCCACACTCTAGATTATGGGCTCTGACCGTAATCTCTCTCCTTACTAGTGTAGTGAGAGCTTTATTTCCTTCTTCACGCTCGGGACTTACTGACTGGTATCCTGGTAGTGTGGCGAGGCCATGCGTTTCTTGAAGTAAAATAACATCTGGCTTGTTACCTTGTCAGATGTACTGCTGGATGACAGATTTCTTAGCCCTGAATCCTCTACAGTTCCATTGCCATATGCGGAGTTGTCCTTTACCACGCCTCACCATCGCTGTTCGTTATATGTGTGGGAGGCGTGAAAACAGGTGGGTGGATGAGAGGGGTTGGTGGTTTTGTGGGAGTTGCCTGCAGGGGATATGGTGCCTGCGGTTGTTGGTGAACGTTCGCGACTACACCCTGAAGGTCTGCGGATGTTTTTGGGTTGCGTCCTCGTTCCAGCATTTCTACCCTGGCTGCTAGTGCCGTCAGATCAACAGACGTCTTAGTGGTGGTTTCCAGGATAGATTGGAACGCGGTTAATAGCTGGTCTACTTTTTCTCTATGTTATCCAACCTTGTTTGTTGCGAGATGCTTTCTTGTTTAGTGCTTGGGGGATCTGTAGTTTTCTGCGTTTTGGCCTTTCGTTTTAACGGAGGGGTAGTTATCTCCATGCGATCGTCGGCTATGGGTGTTTCCTCCTGCATTACAGTATTAGTTATATTAGGGCTTCTGGGTTTGCCGCATTCACGTTCCATAGTGAGAATTTCTATTTGAGCTTGCATCTGTTCTATCATTTCTTTCATTCGTCTGTTTTCATCTTTAAGCCGCTCTAACTCTTGACTGTTGTTGTTATTGCTATCGTTATTATTTTTAACCTCCTGAGGTCCCTCCGGTCGCAAGCCGCGTACTCTTATCTGCCCAGCTCACCTTGTTTGTTGGTCCCTTAGACGCCGATCCCGACCTGGAACTGGGGTGGGAGCTTGCAGGGCTGCAGTTCCTTGAACCGGAGCGGGATCTTGTTTGCTGTCGTTTTCCGGGTCTCGATGTCGAGCGCTCTCGTGGACGTCCTCTTGGTGGAGATGAGCTTTGCCTTTGATGTAGTCTGGCCCATTGTCTCTGTTTCACAATGTAAGGTTTCTTGAACCTGGCCGTGCAGCTTTTATCGGCTGTAACGTGGTCTTTTCCACAGATTTAACAACTAGGGTCGCATCTGCTGTCGTCTTTGGGGTTGTGAATGCTGCAACCAGCACAAAGTTTATCTTGGGGGTTGGGGCACACGTCACTTCTATGTCCCAGTCTGTTGCACTGCTTGCAGTAGTCAATTTGCTTGCGGTATAGCGTGCATGGTATTATTACTCCATCATAGCACACACTGGAGGCTGGAGGGTACCTTGTTTCCACTGAAGAGCACAATGACCGTTGTAGTATTTCCCAGTCGTTTCGCTGTGATGATGCTGGGGTTTCTTTCAGTGACAAGGGCTGCCCTAATGCTACCGGGCGTTTCTTCCTGTGGGATTCCTTTAATGATATCCTTGGCTGTATCTTCTGGCGCTGTTTCATATGCTGCCACTTCATATTCTTTGCCTCGCATAAGCATTTTCTTGATTTTTCTGTACTGGTCAGCTCGGTCGGGGTCTGGTGTGCTCACTATCATGATGTTCTGTGTCTTGTTGGGGCATATCACGTCGAAGTGCTGGACTTCTGGTGGTGTAGCCGCGGCTTCATGTATGCCTCTGGTTATATCGGTTGGGCCGAGTGCGGCTACGCGTAGGCCTCCTCTTGGTCGGATGACAGTATTGTAGTCTCCCGCCAGCAGCTTGGGCATTCTGCTCGCTTTTTCAGTGCGGCTCATCCGTCTTTCCTGCGTTTTGGCTTGCATGTTACGAAAACCGGGTTCTACCTTGTTGTTAGCACCATGGACGCCATCAGCGTCCCTGACCGATTCATGTCCGGGCTTTCGACGACGTCCGTAGTAGACAGTGTGCCAGCCTTCTTCACTCTCGGTAGTGGCTGGCGATTCATCATCATGTTGTACGTCCATCGTCCTCGAACTAACAGCATTGTCTTGCGCGTCGCCTGCCGACGCGGTGGATTCCATTGGGTTTACAGCGCCGGCTCCCTGAGGAAACCGGCCTGTTTCGCGAGGCTTAACAGCGTCTCGTGTGGTGTGCACCGAGAAAAGGCCGTAAAAAGACGAAAAACAGTTGGCCCACCTTGTCTTTGGTATCCTGAGAATCTGGATGACGAGGCGAATCTTCTGATATCACTCTGAGAAATGCACGTGGTGATTTTCACTGCGAAGTTGTTCATGAAAGCAGGAGCCGACGTGAAGCGCGTCTGCACTCGTCGGCGCTCGCAGCGTCCTACCACAAGGCTTAGTCAAATAAAAAAAATTTTGGGTTCGTAGTGGATAGTGGTTTGATTGAATAATCTAATCGAATTTGGGTGGTACATACCACATATTGTACAGAAAAATCTGGATATTTGTCATGACCCTAACCTGCACGATATTTTGTTATGTTGAGACAAAGCATGGGCAAATGCCATTTTCTTTTTGTTGAAAGAAAGCGGAAATGACTTTGAATAGTATTTCCCCTGGATAAATATTTTCATGGCATAGCACTCCTCTGCAGCAAAACTTTTTACAGGGGGTTACATATGGACTAATATGCACCTATAATTCATTTCGAATGCTTCAAAATATCCAATAATCCAAACCGGAACAAATTTGATACTGTAACATTTGTTTGAATATTCGCATGAGCCTACACTATAACAACTTCCTTAAAAACTTACATTGATGTCAAATTAAAGACGTGTGTTCTGTATCCAACTGTTTGTTTCACTGACCACAAGATGCTGGTGGGTGTGCTCAGTGGCCCAATCAGATTTCCTCCAGAGCAATAGATCCTTCGTTGATGACTCTTTCATGATGATTTCTCCATAGTTCCATCATTGCTTTTGAAGCATTTTGTGGGCACTGCACAAGGAGGTAGCACCCATTTGCTTGAAGGTTGTCCGCGTTCAAGTAGTGAAACATCACTCAATTTTAAGTGGCTAGCTGTTTTGAGGATGATGCTCCTGAAATACTGATCAACTGTTTGCGAGTAAGAGTGGCTATTATTCATGAGCCTCATTTCCCAGTTCAGGTGTGCATTTAAATGCGAAGCATTTCTTAGTCGCACAATGTCGTGCTTTGGCGTCAGCGCCGTCCACACCCCCACTGCGCATGCTCAGCTCGTCTCGTGCCTCGTCACGTCTCGCTCGAACCTAGGCGGTGTGTATATAAGCGGCAGGGTGCACATTTGGAAATATGTGAAGGGCGTCTTTACTTAGCTTTCGCTTGATTTGACGCTTTGCTTGACTCAAGTAGATGCGATGGGAGCAACAGTACCTTCAACCATTAGTGGGGCACAATCCAACATCAGCGTCCCACCTCTTGTTGGAGGCAACGCTTCTTCTTCATTCAATAAATTAAAGTAATAAAGAGTAAATGACAATGAAGCATTCACAAACCATACCCAATTACGCAATATTCACGCGATACCCCCCAACACTCTGCGACGCATTTACTCGAGTTCCCCCCGTGGAAAGATGCGGGTGCCAATTTTACATTCATAAACTGGCCCACGTACTCTTACAACATACCGTGTTACAACACCATACTGTGTAACATACTGCATTACAGCTCCAGCTATCTCAAAAGCGTGAGGAAAGTGTGCTTTTCTCGGCACCTATATCACCGTCTTGACCTTCAGTTTTGCGCAAGACACCATGGCTGTTATTCATTTGGCGCAGAATGTTGCTGCAAGTGTGCGGAAGAGCTATCATGTTAGTGCTAGCTTGAGTTGTTAACTATAAGTTTAAAAAGTAGGGCAGCTTGATGACCAAGATGGCATTGTAAATGGAAAGCAAAGTGTCAGGCTTCACAGTCTTCGTTTCTACTGCACATGACGCTTTTCTTAAGTTTCTGAAATCTCTAAATAACACTGTATTATCTAAAAATTGCTTTTTTTCCTTTTCCTTTTCAGCATTTGAAAGCCGTTTCAGGTTTAATCCCATTGACCAAATGCCTGCACCTCACTATGTTGCAACAAAGGATAAAAGGTACCCTAGTAAAGGTAAGTGGTTGGCTTGTCATTTTTTTTATTATTTCTGTATTAACACATCTAGATTGTACTTCTGTGTAGTTTTCACATCCCTAATGTATTGCGTTTCAAAAAAAGATTCACCTGTATATTCTTCCAGCACCGGTTTTCTTCATAACTGCAACTTGTGCGCGCTCTTTGGGAAATCGAAGCAACCACAACATTGTAAGCACCCATTAAAGTTGCATGCTGGAAAATTCAGGATGACTAGGAAGCATCATTAATTAGCTTCTGTTTTAAATCTTTTCACAATTAAAACATAGTTGGGACAAATACTCAGCCCATTCTCAGTCTGGCCATTTGTATTCATCGCTATCCTTTTTCGTTAGGATCAACTGTGCCCCTCAACCCTCAGTGACGCTACAGCGTGGCACAAAATTCCCTTTGCCTGTTCATTATGGGTAGAGACAACTACATACTGTGTTGATACCATTGCTAGTGTGGCAATGCCTTATTTGTATTGAAAATCACAGAGGTGTAGTAGTGACCACCAATGGGTGCGACTTATTGCCGACGTCCCTATCACAATCATAAGTTGTCAAACTCACTCATGAGTGCGCTCACTCAGACTCGCACAGACTCAGGATCGGGTCGTGAGTCTTAGTGTGAGTCTGGGTGAGTAATATTTTGGTGAGTTTAGATGCGACTATGTATGGCTAAAGAAAATTTTGGCAAACTTGAATCCGAGTCATTCTTATAGGCAAAATGTTAGAGCAGTGTGAATCGCAATATTTTGGTTGCAAAGTGAATTAGAATATTGAAGTGTTAGTGTGAATCAAATATTTTTGTGAATCAAAATCAATACTTCGAAGTGAAATTGCAGAAGAAAGGTTGTAGAGGATTCCTAAGCATATTTTTATGAGGTAGTAACATAAAAGTGTTTCTTTTGTCTAGGTTGATGAAGCGCTGGTGGGGTGGTGAACGCAGTTGTCTTATCATGATTGAGGCAACGCAGAGGTCGAATTGTATTTATGTACATGATTCCGTACAAACAAACTGTTCCTGACAGCACATTACATGTGAAAGGCTGAGATACGACAACAGAATCTCGATGATATGATTGCGGTTTATGCAAATTTCGTGATGATACGAATTTTAAGGTTGTTTTGAATGGACTGCATGCAAGCCAGCAGTGATCTGTCCATCGTGAACAGAAATGGTTGCGCCATGATAGCAGCAGCAGATGTTGCCTAGGAAGCTATTGTACCGCTGTGGACTTCCTTCGCTGCCCTTACACTGCTCCCCCACCAGCTCACCTGCTCTGACCCTGCGCATAACAGCTCAGTCAAGCCAGACATAATGCCAAGGCCAATTGCTCGTGGGCAGCCTTGTTCTGCTGTGAAACTGGTGCAAGGACACAAAAACAAAGGCAGGGGGGAGGGGGGAGAGGGAGGGAGTCCAAGGAAACAAAACATGGGAAGAAACAAAGATGGTTGATTTCATCGTCATATAAACCAGTTTTCAGCATTAGATGAAAGCGAACCGTGTCTTCTCAGGAATTAGTGATTGTATATTGTACATTGATGTATGAAAGCTTGAACATTGAATGTCTCGGGGAGCCCCCTTTCGAACCCCTAAAGTTAGTAATAGTTAGTAAAGCTAGTAAACTATGCATATAATTATGATACTTAAAGGGCCAGTAAACAGACTCCGACTTTTTCTTTTACACTCCCCAAACAAGCTCGCCAATTCATACAGTAGGTAGCGGCGATCACCTTTGCTGAATATTACAGCGCTGCGTGCCGCAGCAGACCTTCCATTTCAAAAAAGAATCCCCCGCTTGTTTCGCTCGCCTGACCTATCCCACATCATACACGCAGTCTGATGAAAGCTTGCCCATGGGCAACATTACGGACCCCTGAGTTTATCTATCGGTTCTTTCTCCTGCGAAACAGCGCCTTGGCTCTGCGTTGATGCAGTTTCAGCTATGGAGTTCGCAATTTCATTTTTTCTGTGTTGCCCTCTGCCATTTTTTAGAACCCGAGACTCTGGGAGAAGCGGTATTGCTAGAATGAAAAGCCTCAGAGATGAAGAGGCGTCTCACCAGTTTACAGCGAGGAGAAAAGTGCCCCTCGCCCTGTGTTTCCTGCCCGCACTGCTATGACACATGCTCATGGGGGGGAAGCCCCGTTTGATCATTGGTTGCACGCCGATGACATATCTAGGACGTCATGTCACATTGCCGAAGTGGGCAGAGTCACAATGACAGGCTACTCCTTCGCAGAGAATACTGGCGAGTGGCCGCGGGAAAATTTGAAACTGGCTGAAACGGATGTTCTAACCCTTGTAACTTCCTTATTATAGCACGTATTCACAAAATTCTTGCGGCAAGCATGTTCACGTAACGAAAATGCACATATTTTTCTTCATGAAAGCTTTTGGACCTCGGTGCTATTTACTGGCCCTTTAGTAGTAGTTTTGTGCAGGAAAATAATCCTCGATAGAAATATCGCAGCTGATAGATATTGTGTATTGGTGTACTTAAAAAAATTATTTTAACACGGAAATGTTTTATGCCAAGGTCCACCACGGCTCCGTGACGTATTTCTGTCAGAGATATGGCATTGTAAAATATTTACTAATAGATTGAAAAGAAAAAAAAATATTGAAAAGGAAAAGATTCGCAGCGGAGCGCTGAGGAGCGACCTCGCGCTCTTCAGCGCGCGGGGCTAACTGCTTCACCACAGCACGACCCTTCCCCAACATGTTAACGGCAAGCCATTTATATACACGCTGTACTGCTGGCGGTCCTCAGAGCTCGGGTACTGCAGCACATTTCAGTAATCAGTAGCGAGATGGCACCACGGGCGTTCGGTGTGCGCGCCCTAAAGGTCGTCATGCTGCGCCACCCTGGGCACCGCTGTGTGCTCGCGCCTCCACATGGCGTGGTCAAAGTGCATTTAGATGTTCTCTAGCGTGGTGGCTCACGTGCGCACTTAGTTATCTCGGTATTCGGGTGCTTTGTTTGTCTTGTGCTTCCACCGCAAGTTTGCTTTGAAGTTACAGTAGTTAGAGAGAGCGCGGACATCAATTATCTCGTTGCCACTGTCGCATTTATGAAAGGAGCGCGCTGCTGCACCTACAAAGTAAGAATTGTGAAAGTTGTTTGTCCGTGCTCGTCCTGTGTATGCTCATTTCGTGCATGCTATCTGGCTGAGGTGTGCACTGCAAGTTTTGAGCTGCTTACCATTCTTCACGTGGCATTGCAATCTTTTACTGCAGCATGCATTCCTTCGCCCTTGTGGTGAAACAATGCACAATAAAGCTTAACTACCTCTGTGAGGACATGTTTCACTTTTGTATTATACCGATTCCTAAAAAGAGGGTTCAACTATGTTTTTTCATCTTATTATTATTATTAGCAGTATTTATACCATATGTCCAGTTCCAGGTTGACTTTTCAGATGGGCTCTATTCCTTTTCTTCAAAATAGCTAAGGGAATTCTCACTTTTCGAATTCTCTCACTGCTGGTAGGGCATTGGCTTTATACTCCCTACCATATTTTTTGTTTTTGTATATTATATGCACATATCCCAGATGTCATATTTTTTATCGCAAACAGGAAGAAAAGAAAGAACTGGCTGAGAAGAAAAGAAGGCAGTGCACAGGGCAAGTGCACTGCCCTGTGTGCTGTCTTTTTCTCTTCTCAGCCAGTCCGCTTTTTTTCATGTTTCTGCTAAAAAAATATGTCTGGAATACAATGCCAACTAGCCCACCAGGATGCTTTATGTGCACATAAATTTGCATATACGGTATAAGTGCATAGTGTTCATTATCTGTTCTCTTTGTGTATGTTTGTGTGCATCTGCACTTATCGCTTGTTCTTGGTTACAGCCGCGCAGAAGCAGAACCATCAACGCCAGGCTCCCCTGCCCCCAATGTCGCTGCACGCGAGTGGTCTTGTGGCCCACCAGACCCCTGTCTGACCGCAGGCCAAGGGCCCCAGCGGGCACAGTGCGAGTCACAGACACCCAGAGACCCTTCATCACCTTTCGGGGGTTGGGGAAGCTCGACGTTACGTTGGTCCCGCTCTGTTGGACGCCGCAAGGACGGGGAACTACTGTAAGGATGTCAAAGAACAAACGCACCCTGTAACAGACGGTGCACACTGCTGGAATTGCCACTTTTTGTTGTGACACCTTTTTTTTTCACCTGTTTTTATGAACGTCATGACATTATTAAGTTGTGGTCCACAGGTGCTTTGGCCTTGTCATCTTTATAGGTTGTGTGACATCCCCCCCCCCCCCTTTTTTTTTTGTGGCTCGCCTTTAATTCAAGATAGTAGTGCAGAGAATAGTGAAAAAGAGGTTTGTTCTCATGTGCCGTATTTCACAGCTGCTGTTGAGAAGAAAAATATTTTGCGAGTGTCTCTCCGTCTCCAGGCGCTTAGTGACTGCATTATCATGCTTTCATAAGCGTTGAAGATTGGGCGAATCAGTTCATCATACTTGAACTGGTATAGCGCATTACATGAAATAAAAAACAGCCGAGCAGACCATCACAAGTGGACAGAGTGCTCTGTTTGCTTCTATTGGTCTGTTACTTCTTTCCCGTAATGTGCTACACCAGTTCAAGTATGCTTTCATAACTGTTTGTATCTTGGTCAGTGTCCCTGACCTCCTCACTGCATTTGGAAAACCTAGGCATAACCTTATAATGCTATTGCAGAGGAGTGAAATATTGCTGCGAGCGAAATATCGAGCAGGGATGTTCTGTCAAGACAGAATACATTGTCCAACTAAGTAGAAGAGTAGAGGGGCTAGTGATTTGTGTTTTTGGCCTTTCATGTCAGCCTGACATTTAAACACAAAATAATTTTATAATTTTATTTTGTTACTGAAATTTTTTCATAATGCAGTAATCAAAGCAAAATATGTGCTGTGCCTGACCGCTTTGATATCTTTTTTTTTTCTTGTCGACATGCTGGACATTTTTATAGTACCTTTTGTGTACCTTTTGTTTTCACTTTTTTTTTCCTCTTACAGTTTTCCTGCTTACGCTTCTCGCTGTTGCGATTCTTAATTTTGGATATTACCAGCAGATGCATGGAAACACTGGCGACCTGGAGTTGCTTGTTCTAGTTGTATATATGATACAGATAGTTGCGCACAAGCTGTGCTGTATGAAATCAAAGTGCAGGCCCACAATGTTGTACATTTGTCAGCAAAGGCCCGGTTTCTATTTCTTCACTGTATATAATTATCATGCAAGAAAGCCACCGCACTGTTGAAAGCAGGCATGCGACGTCTACAGAGAGAGCAGCATTATGAGAGTGCTTGGGTGAGACGTATATTTTTTTCCCTCGCTATTACCCACTCACTTGTATGTTGTTAAGTGTTGATTTCCTTCCATATTTACCAGTGTCCAAGGTTATTAGTTATCACTCTTTCGCTTCGCCTTACTGCCTTGAACTTAAAGCTGATTTTGTTTCTGATGAATCAGTTGCTGATGGCCATGTGAATTGCCGACGTAAGTCAGTTGAATATAGCACTGTGTGTTAAGGTATGTACTACTGTGCACCCCTGAGCTGATATAAACACACCAGGCATCTTGCATTGAAGTAAAGTTGATCTTCTTCTTCTTCACCCTTGAATATAACTTGGAAACTGTGGATTGCAGTCCAAGCTTGACCAACATTGCAAACTTTCCAGTGCACTTGTCAAGCTCAGTTGGTAAAACCAAATTATGAATAAATCCGGTCTTTTTACTAACCTTTGGTTTGTGTGCCTCCACTCAAGGGTGTACATTGCGAAGCTGTTCCAGGCATTGTAATCTAAGGAGTAAAATGAAAGGAAAAAAAAAAAGCAAGAAGGGGCTTTTTAGGGCCCCTTCAATTTGACAGCAGGGAGTGTTAGGCAGTGAATGTTTGTAAGCCCATCACATAGAATTACCTCGATTGGATGTTTGCCCGCTTGCACGTTCTGTAAACACACACTTGATAGCGATGTGTGCTTGAAACATGTGCTTTTGCAAGGAACATTGACGAGTATGAAGCGCTGCTCACACTTCTGCTAGTGCAGAGTGGCCCATATGGCTTTTCGCAGGACACTCTTATTGCAGGTGACTTTTACTGTGCAGAAGTAACTCCTATTTTACTATATTGACTCTACAATAAAATACAAAGGGTGGCAAGGTGTTCCCAACGGGTGATGACTCCGACTCCTGTAGTAGACTTGTTGTTGTCCCTTGCTGAACGTTATGTTACACGCGAACTGTAATGAATATCAAGGCAAGCAATATTGCCTATCAATTGTTACTGACAGACTGCTTCTTACAGAAGAGTTTTGTACAAGTGGCCCTTGGGAATCTATAAGATGAGATCCCTGGGAATACTTTCTTATGATTTCATTCTTTTACACTTCAAAAACAGCTTGAGTAAATATAGTTCGCTAGTGTATCCTATCATATTTTTTCCTCGATTTAATAATAGCATTTGCCATGTCGTAAGCGAAGCTGCGACACACCATGGTATAGTAAAGTTGCTGTAAGGGTTAGTTGGCTTATGCAGAGTAAAGCTTAACAGCTGGCATTCCATTCCATTCACCCATAAAAAGCTCAGTTTGGTTTCTTTGCACAGCAATGCTCCTTGGTTCTCTGTTGCATTAAAGACCGCCTTTGTAGCCAAGGTGATGAAATGAGCGTGGAGGAAATGCGGTGCAACAGTGGTTGCATCCAAGCATGAGGACGATGCATATGAGGTTCTTTGTAGCAGTTGCGTTGCACCACATGTTTATCTGCAGATTCTGAGCATGCCAAATTGTTGTGTGGTTTTTTAAAAGGCTGATCAGGTATTTCATCATATGCACTAAAAGGCACTAAAAGAGGCTACAAGATTGTGTATTGTTGCAGCTCTCCAACAACACTTGTAGAAATTTACTGTAACCATGCAAAGCTGATGCACCATCTTTATATCCTTTAGATTTAAATCCAGCTGCAAGTGTTCAGTCTTAATGTGCTTCCATGTTTTGCAAACTCGTGTGTGACTTCAGCAACAAAATTTACTGGAGGGCCTTTCAGTTGAAAGCATTCTTTGCAACCACACAAGCCTACAGGTCTGTGGATCATAACTCACGGCAATATTAATAACAAACGGCTCGGGAATAACCGTTATTTCTGAATTAATGTGCGAGCTATTTTTAAAGAAGTAGGTATTTCTATTGACTAAATTGGCTCTTGGCTGTGTAGACATACCGTAAACAAGTATTATGTTGAGAAACTCTCTACTGGTTCAAGAATGTGACTGATGCCTGCAAGTCCAAGAGGTATATCTAGAGATTTGCCAGTAACATTCGATAATTTAGGCTCTCTGATTAACTCTATTAGTTATTTTCTAAATCACTGATTTGCAAGACTTTTTTTAATTAAAGGTTTAAAGTGAGTTTATTATTCTTTTTTTTTTCAATGAAAATAAAGAACATTGGCAGATCTTCAGCTCTCCCTCTACTAACAACAAGGGCATTGTGCATTAGCAGGGGTGGACACAGCCACTAATTTTAGGAGGGGGGCAGTCTCTTAAAGTAACACTGGAGAGAGAGGGGGTTCTAACGTGTCTTTAGTAGCACAAAAACTCGATCATAGCATAAATACTGTTGACTTGCACTCACAGTCCTGGTTTGTCCTGATTGGTGATAGGCGGTGGATGACAAGCACTGAATGGAGGGTGTGCGTTTTGGGTGGGGGCCGATCATTGCTACTGCGTCTCCCCCCCCCCCCACTCCGGGTCCGCCAGTGGACATGCATTTAAGTTTCGCCTGCATGATGAACCATGCTGAAGGGCTGTCCAGGGAAGTCGTTTTCAAAACAGTTTGCAGAGCTCTGCTAAGCCTAACTATCAAGTAGTGGCTTCAGTTATAGACAGCTTAAGTTCAGTGCAATCGTACAAGCCCTCAGTGATCTTGTTAGACGTCTCTAAAGAGTCTTGCTGAAGAGGGTGTGTAGATCTAGCCAAATTTTTTCCCCCCACGTTTTGCAACATATTACTACTGTCCTTGTGCATGTCATTTTTCACTAGCACTGTCATCCGTCTCCTGGGTGTGCGAGGAACCTTTACATGGCAATGCTTGTTAATAAAAGAACTTACTTGGGCACATGGTAAACTAGTTAGTGTGTAAAGAAGGAAATGCAAACTTGCACCAGGACCTTTTATAAATTTGCAATGCATGTGTGTTAAGATACTGAAAGCGGCTTTAGGCTGACGCAGAGACGCCATCTCCAGCATGCAAAATATGTGTGCAATTTTTACAGGTTGTGTACTTCTATACAGTGTGCTTACTTAAAAAAAACCTCACGTTGGATCACTTATAAATTTTCATTCATCAGTACTGCCAGAATTATAGCTCTTGCAACTGCAATAACAAATAACAAGCCTGTCACAGTCTGCTGAAGCAACTAGTCTGTCACCCAATAAAAAAAAATGAAGGTCACATCTCCACTATTTTCCATAACCTTAAATCCAGTTCAGTAAAGATTAGCTGGCATGTGGGTGCATGTGTGAAGAAGAATGACTGTGTCATTTTTTCGCAGCTTTTTTGTGGAAAATAAGACAATGCCGTGGATTATTTCAGCACCAAGTGGTGAACCAAGTAAAGGAGGTCGATGGCACTGGTTTTCAAAAAAGCCAGATGTGTCATTTTGTTTCAGACTTTTTGTAAACAGTGCATAACTGGCGCAAGATTGTATACTTGCCGTTTTTACTGCAATATTCACTCTCAATTCCAGAGAAAAGTTACTTTATTTGTGTTGGATCCTTGGCAATCATTTCTGTCACTCACTGCAACCAAATCATAATTGTTACATCTTGTACGATTAATGCTCTTGTTTCAGCTATTTCCAGAATACAAACATGTTTTTGGGTGCCATGAAAAAAAAAAGGAAAACTGGGAAGTGATTATTAGCTGTGATTCTGATGATGAATTGTGGCTTTTTTCTTTTCTTCTGGTGGAAAAAAGTCTTTTTTCGAGTGCTAACATCTTTTTCTATGGTTTATCAGAAATTGTGTGTGCTTATTTCAGCTTGTGTGGGAGGTAACGTGTGGTGAGAATGAAAATTATATGTGTGAGTGTTATGAGAGTATTAACTATAAAGCCTGTATGTATATATATATATGTATATATATATATACACTATATAATAGCGCAGTGGCTTGACGCAGCAAGGGGTGCTGCAAGGAAAGAAAAAAAAAGAGGAAGAGGTCTCCTTGATGCAGTGTGAAGATGATGTGCCTTTTTGAGAATCGTACGGACTATTAAATCCAAGTTGAGATTTCTGCACTTTCAATTACTTATAAGAGTATATATACCGTGAGCGTGCCAGCGCATTTATTCCCGACTACTTCAATCGCCACTGCCTGCTGTGAACGCTTATTTAGTGTAACGTTCCTCTCTCTAATTAGTCTCACTATTTCTGCCATTGCGCTAAACAAAAAGAGTGCTATCAATAACTATCTTGTTTCTGCCAATTTGGTAACAAGTTATTAGAAATTTGTTTTTGATATACTTATTGGTTGGGCGTAGCACTTTGCTTGAATCTGTCATGTAGCCTCCATGATGTTACTAATAGTGCTGTTCTAAGTAGACACTGAATACTACGTTGGGCACTCGTCACAATTTTTGTTGCTTTGCACGTCTAATTCATCATCCTTCTGGAAAAAAATACATAATCGCATTTACTTGTAGGTGGGCTTCTTTGCTGCCAGAAAGATTTTGAGGACATCATCACAGCAGTAGTTACAAAGCCCTGGAAGCAAGCTTGCGCACAGTTTTGCCATTAGCATCCTTGCTATGCTTGAATTCTGAAATTTCCTTGATGTACATACGTGGCGAACAATTTCATCCATAGAGAAACAGAAAGCTCACTTTGTAAACTGCATAGCTGTAAACCAATGTTGTTGTCTTCAAGGACACCTCTGCTCAACACATCATGTCGTGTCGGCACAGGCGCACCTCTGGCACAGTTTGAGGGTACAAGTTGCGTGGAGCTTTCAGACTTTTCCAGTTGCTAACACATATGTGCATACGAAGGACAGCTTTAAAATTCACACTGAAGTCTTGTTTTGAGAACGTATAGTTGTTATATTGCTGGTCCTCCTAATCATAAAACAGTTGCTGAAATGTTTTTTATTGTTTTTTTATGCATGGCGACACATCGTAGGTATTTAGTTTTGGAATGGTCCTATCGGGGCAGTTGCATTTCAGGTTGACATTTTGTGTGTGCTGCACATTTAGAAAAATGCAAGATGTGTTGTGCTCTCAAATAAAGGTTCCAACAATAAACGTTGGGTTTAATGTTGGAAGAGCATGCTTTTCTCATGATGTTGCCTCAATTGATATGTGGGGTTTAACGTCCCAAAACCACCATATGATTATGAGAGACGCCGTAGTGGAGGGCTCCGGAAATTTAGACCACCTGGGGTTCATGATGTTGCCTCAAGTCTCCATTGGTGTTATTTTACGCCCACTGAGTCACCTAAGTAGTAAAAGACGAGCGATAAAAAGAGGGATAAAAGTTGCAAAAAATTTTGCCGTTGTGAAAACTACATTTCCCATTCTAGAACAGCTGGTAAACATTAAGAAGCATGAAAATCGCATGCTATTGTGACATCACCCATTAGTTCTATCAAACATTAAAGTGGTTGTCAACTTGCAACAGGATCATGTGAAATAATGTTGCCCATGTTCTATTATATGTGTTCTTTTCTACTTGTGTTGAAGGAATAAGCACCAACAAAATTGTTGGGTATCATCGGCCATCCAACTGGTGGAGGTTAGTGCGATGTAGCTATTTGCTTGTTTTAGGCCTGATCATTGTGATTCTGGGCTCTCCTTGAGTCTGAACTGAAAACATTTTTGTCTCCAAAATAAAACTATTGACCTGTACTTGTGTCAGTGGCAGTTTTATGTAACTTTGGAATATTTGGTTGTGAGGCCATACTTTGCAATGGTTCTACCCACCTGTTAAGTTGAGCGACTGATGACGCCAATAAAATTGTGCAACAGCATTAACAAGGCCAATGAACTTGTGCAGAGAGAAGCTGTGATGCCAAAGTATGAAAAGTAGGGCTGTGAATATTCGAGTATTTTTCTAATAGTGTTTGCTATTCGATTTGATTTGCTCTGCAATTGTACTCTTCGACGTACTTCAATACAGTCAATGTTCAATTAATAATGCCCTTTCAAATTTTCAATATGTTTCACTCCATTACATTTTCGTGTTGCGGCAAAGCTGCCTTTCGAGCTCTGCTATGGTTGCAAATGTATCAGGTTCAAGAAAACAGTGGTTTCAACATAGAGATAATATATACAGCAGGAGTGGGGGGCACAATTAATGTTGTTTTGGACCTGAAATTTAGGCAGGAAGTCCAAAAAGTCAGGCTCCTGAAGATTTTTAGCACCTGGAAGTTTAGATATGCTTTTATATAGTGATGTTTATGGGGCACATCTGGAAGTCCCGACTCGGATGGAGCACATCCTTGCCCGCCACATCAGTTATGCTTCCACAGGAGTTGAAAGGGGAGGAAGGGACTGGGGAAATAGCATCTTTGTAAACTATTGTTGACAAGCACTTTGGTATCACCAAATCATGCTCATAAATACAACTCAGTTTAAGAATTGCCTCATTTTTGAAAGGACTACTACGAAACACCACCCCACCGCTGCTTCAGCAGGCTAGCCAAAACATACACTTTCATGTCGCTATCTCGTCAGCGTATTTGGATTTCTTTTCAAAGTATTAAAAAAATATTTGAGGAATGTTCTAAAAATATTTGAAAAATATTCTATTCGATTTCCACTCAAACCTTAATATTTGAATTTGCTTCACACCCAGAATTTCGCTATTCACACAGTTCTGAAAAAGAAAAACTGGGTTGAAAAGGGAAGCTTTGCAAATCTAGTCCCAGCATTCAATTTGTAAATTGTAGCAAATACTTGAATATTCATTTTGGAATTGTTCTAAAGGAAGTAGTTTAATTAGGCCACACGAGCACTTTAATTTCACTTTAAAAAGCCTTGCATCTTCCTTATGGGTCAATATGTTGTTGCCTCTGGTTACAACGATGTATCACTCCTTGAACCCAGTGGTAAATTAAATAATATACCTCCTATGTGTGCCATGCAGCAAACGCATTATACTGTTTTGTGACATGCAGCACACTCCATTTAAAAACAACTAGTGTGGACGGGAAACTGTGTTTTTTTTATACGAGGTGCTATGAAGCGAGTGATACATCACCGAGAATCGTTTAATTTAATATGTAGCCGAACCTGTAACATTCCTTTGGTGAAATAAAATCTAAGCCTGTTGCATTCTGCTTAATATTTTAGGTTCTTTAATGCAGGGTCATCTTCCTGCCAAAGGGGATTAATAATATTTCGCCTTTTTCATTTTTATTTGCTGTCTTCTACTGTTTCGGTACGGGATGGGCAGACTAGTGTGGTACAAGCGCCCATTGCCAGCAGGCATCAAAATTGTTGGGTACCATCGGCCATCCAACTGGTGGAGGTTAGTGCGATGTAGCTATTTGCTTGTTTTAGGCCATTATCATGATGGCTTCGTGGTTTAGAGCCGGTCACCCACTACAAAAGGCACACACCCTACACCACCTATTCCCTTAAGGCCACGTAGTGGGTGCATAACAAGTTCGAAAAGGTTTCATGTACTAAGTGTTTGAAGTACAGCACCAGGAACGGAATATTGCTCTCGCGTAGGTATAGGGTTCCCTAAATTTTTTTTTCATGTGCTAGTTGAGCAAATGAAAAAATTGCAGATAATCCCTAAGCATATCTGACTTAACCTCAGCAGTGCTACATATAACCGTAGCGGACCACACTGGGTAAGCAGCTCTGATGTTCGATGGGTTTGACGCAGTCCATTCCAGGACTAGTATCAAAAGCATTTGTTTGATTTTTCTCGAAATGAATACAGCCAAAAAAATGATTGAGCACTTATTCGGTGCCAATGATGTCATTCTTTTCATTTAAATTATAACATGACATGGCTTTTTTAACTGCAGCCTAACTACAATATTTAACAATAACAGGCAATATTTAACTGTAGCATAACACAATTATTCTAGAAAATTGAACAAAACAAATTATTTCATTTTCTTTCTTGAAATGTAATACTGAGTGCCTTGGAATTACAATGTGAATTGTGCATATTCGTAGACAGCGCATCATAATCCATGCCTGAAGGGGATACTCTTACAAGATGAGTGTGATGGCATTTCTTTTGGCTAGGCTGTTGTTGTGGAAGGTTGGGATGAAGCGTGCTGTGAGGATTATGCCTCCTTTTATGTCATGGCTGCAGGTGGTTGCTGTGACAGTTTTTGGCACCATGGTTGGTTTCAGTGTGAGCGGTCACATTCTTTCTGAACACAGCTTTTGCAGATGCTAGCTGGGTTCGCGCCTTTACCAACCTAGCCAAGGAAAGCTTTTGTGTCAAAATGATCCAGGAAGGCAGGGCCAAATAATTGAGCATTCAAGATGTGTGCAGCTGTCTGAGCATCTAGACCAGTCAATTAAACTTTAGGCATACATTATCTGCCTAAAGAGCAGATAACAACTGTTAAATTTCTGCTGGATGAAAATTGAAGTAGCTGATGTCTGCATAAACAGGACTGCAACATGTAACGTTGATGACTTTTCCATGGCGATATGAATGGGACTCGAGTGTACGTGCAGGTCAGGCTGTGGAGTGTGTGATTTGATAGCGCACATAGCTCTTCCTAAATAATGCTTTGGTGAAGCAGAAGCTAACTAGTAACTTCAGCTACTTATTTGTGCTTTATCAAGGCAGATGTGGAATGCCAGCCCAAAAGCACTAGGAATGAAATGTATTCAAGAATGATAAACTGTCATGGACAGAAAAGCAATGTGAAATTTACTGAATTAATGAGAGGCTAGAAATCTTGTTACGTAGCCTCCACCACTAACCTAACAGATACGCTACCTTACAGAAACATATGTCGAGGTATGTAAAAATTAGCAGAGATGCATGCCTTTGAGATTTCAACTTCACTCACTTGAGGGTCGACCTCCAAACCGTTATGTAGAGTTGTTCAGCGTGCCAAAGTACTTTACTCGCAAGCACTCCTGCTTTTTACGTGCTGAAACAATCTGTAGAGCTTTTCTGGACATTGTCAACTTCCACTAAGTTGTCAGGTTCAGTAACTGGTCAATCATGATTGGCCCTGGGAGCCAGTATGGTGTTTCTAATTGGCTTAAAATGCCTCTATTACGAAATTGGCCAATATGGCGCCATATAGCACTGTCCAGAAGAGCACTGCTGGTTGCATTGTCGAAACTAGTGGGAAGTCGTTAATGAATGATCTACATAATCTTGTACGCAGGTGCAGGCATGCTTGGTTTACGAGAGGGCTACACGTGCAATGATTTCGGATTAAAACAGCGTGAGTTCAGATGTGAAAAACAAGCCAGGAGACGGAGGCCGTCGCAAAAGAGGCACGGCTGCTCTCGTAAATAGGAGGCGATGCACTGACTAACCACGAATCCTTTATTACTGTGCTTCCTTACACCGGTCACCTAGACCTGCTCTCAAGCCTTGGCCGCCAGAGCTTTGAGGTCAACGATGCACTGCTGGAGCGACTCCTTCTCCTGCTGGGGAGTGATGGCCTTGAGCACGTTGTTGACGATCCAGTCGACCATGTGCTTTTGCTGGAGCCTTCGCGTCACGTTCTGTACCTCGAGGTGGTAGTCGAGCCTCTTCTTCACCTCCTCGTACACCGACATCTGGCGCTTGCGGAACTCGGCTTCCAGCTGCAGGGCCACGTTCTCACGCTTGGCCTCGAACAAGTAGTGCTGGCCTTGCGCTTCCCACTGGGAGTGTTCTTCGTTCTTGATGGCATCCTTGTAGGCTTCGATGCCGCCCAGTCGGTATTCGTCGATGTCTTTCTCCTCCTGATCGACTTCTTTTTCCAGGTAGGCCCTCACGCCGGGCCCAAACTTCTTCACCGCTATATACGCCATGAGCGCCAAAGTGAAACCAGAGGCGAATTCGTGTTCCACGATCAGGATCTCCTTCGAGTACAGGTAGACGAGCAGGCCGGTGCCGAACAGGTAGGGGCCGGTGACGCCAGTCTTAGGGTAGAACACTTGAAACCATTCGTCTGGAATGAAGCCGAGTCGCACTTTGCCTGGATACAGCGGCCTCTTGAGTCGGGGAAAGTTCACCAGGTCCCTTTCGGGAGGCTCGTTGGGGACGTGAAGGATTTCACGGCCATCTTTCGTGAAGGTGGGTTGGTCACTCGAAGCACGCACTGACGCTGTCGGGAGTGACACCTTTAGAAGGGTAGTCGCGGAAAGTCGAGGTAGGTGCCTTAAGTGCGGCAAGTTGCATTGTAACTTGGCGTTTCGAGGCCAACTACGGGTGCAAAATCTCGTAAAAAGTTGACCCCAAACGTCCTCTGCAAAGGAGGAAACGTGAAGTGAGATGATGTCGCTCGCGATGCGATTGTGAAAGTTGTTGCTGAGATAGGTGGCGTCGCTAGTTGTCAGATAAAATAAATGCATAATTCAATTTGGTATTTTATTAGCTTAAATTTAGTATACTAAATGGTTACCGTAAAACAATGCAATAAACATAACAGTGTTCAGCTTAACACCACCAGCTTTGCTAGAGATTGCACTAAGCGCACCGATGATCGTCACTCTACATGGTATTAATGTTCTCCGACGTTACCTTGCTCGTTTCATTTCCCGCGAGACGGTGGTTGAAGTTTCTAACGCAAAAAACGTTCCAATAACTATACTTCTTGGTCCTCGAGGTGTTACCACAGAGCACCTACCAGGTGTTCTTGACTAGACGAAGACAGCATCAACTAGCCCGTTTCGCTGAACGCGTGTTCTCTATTTAAAATAACTTCCCTAACTTTAGTCACAGTGGCATAGACTTTTTCGCGCCACGAATTACTACGCCAGTGGAAGTAGATCAAACATATGCGTATTCTCAAGAGCTGCTTGCGTTAGTTTCCCACACAGGAGCCGCGAGCAGGCTGCTCGGTGCGACACACTGCATGCGACACAACAAGCACCCATTGCGGAATTTGTTATCGAGTCTCATTTATCTACGAACACACGCTATTTACTCCGCATTCCTTCAGTGTTTTCTTTTTTCGACGCCTTCTCAGCATTTCTCACGAACTGAGTTTCGGAATGCAATCGTTTCACCTGTGCCGTCTTTTGTGTTCGTTTTGTTGATGGGCCGGTTCGGCAAAATGGCACATTATCGTGACGTAACCAGTTTCTGCGCTTCCCTAGGGGCAGACGTACACAGACGGACTTACCTTCGCGCCATTCGGGCTTCGTCGAACGTAAGTTCACTTTTTCTCATCAAATCCCTTCCCCTCGAAGCGTGGTATTTCTCTTAACCCTGGATCGCCCGACTCAACTAACTTACCGCACCCTACGGAGGCCCGCGTAGCGCGGGCCGCCCGAACGAGAGGCCTCCCCTGCGGTCCCAGGGATATCAACAAATGCTCGCGATGGTCCCGTAGTGTGTGCGTGCGTGCCTTTGTGTGCATCCTGGCCGATGCGTGATCGTGTTCTCCGTTCGGTGTACGGGGCTGGCTTGTCCGCGGAAGGCTCTCGGGACAGCCGAGTATCTGAGCGCGAGCATGTGACGGCGCCTGCATCCTGCTGCCCTTCGCATCGCCTTCGATCCTGCTGCGCACGCCTCATTGAACGGCCAGCACGGACCCTGGGAGTCGCGGATAGGGAGGGGGGCCGGGGGATCGTACGTGCTGCTCCGATGGGTCACAGCCAGAGCAGCTGGGGTGTGCGAACCCAAGCGCGCCGCCGATGGACTATGCGAGCGTCGCACCGTGCCACATTTCGGACGACGGATAGAAAAAGTGGCCATCACGCGTACGGCAGTAGCGTGAGCGCACGGCTTAGAAGTCCGGGAAAGCGAGATCGTAGTCTGGGGCCAGTTTTTGGCGCGATGACCACTCCTCGCAGTGAGGACTTGAGATGCTGCTTGATCAGAGGAACAATTTAGCGGCGAATGTCGACTGATTCACTGTCGACGAGGCGCGGCACTCTGCGTCAATTTGGGGCACAGGAACAATCAACCGGTTCTTAAGTGCCCGGCCCGTACGCGGTGACTCGCCCCAAGTTTCCGGCCGATTACCGTCGGCTATTTCTTGCCGGCTTCGGGACGCACACCTGCGGTCATTCGACTTGGCTTCTTTCTGATTGCTCGTCGAACCGGCGATTGGTGCTAATTATTTCGTTCGGAACCACAAAGCCAGCATGACTGACGCTGCTGGTTTTCACCATTGTGGATGTTTTCTAGTGACTCTATCAAGCACATGACTTGCTTAATGCTTAACTACTAGTGTTACTTTCTGCTGTGAACTGCATTGTGATTCTTTCTATCAAGTTTGGACGTATGGCGTACGTCTCCTCGCTCGATTTTTACACGTGATTCCTTCACTGATGCTACAACGAAGAAGGTTTTGCAGAAGAATGCGCACAAGATATCCCGAATCCACCCGGCGTGCTGACGTTCACTGGCGAATGGGTTTCTTGTACGCGCGGAATTTCGCTATGTGCTATAAACGTAAGCTGCGTTCGTTGGGCCCTCCAGATAACGGCTTGATTTCTCGACTAGGGCGAATACAATTTTTCTAAACGCATTTCATTCCATGCTACGAACGTGTATCTGTACCTAACAGGGAACACTGACATACGGCCAGCAACTTAGGCGTATTTAGAGCAGCGAATGTAAAACGAAGTCGATGAACTGGAAAAAAAGTTATAAACGCCACGTCGCAACTGCAATGCTAGCCGGATCTGTATTTGGAGCACCTGTGCTTTGAGCTCTTTCTGCCGTAAAAAAGCGACAGCGTGCAGCTACATCGACTGGACAAATGCGAGACATTCGGACTGTATTTGTCTAGAGCTGGTGGAAAGAAGAAAGTTAAAAAAAAAAGAGGTCGAGCGTTATAATAATTGTTAGGGTATCACGTCCCAAAACCACAAGATTATCAGAGTCGACATGGTGGGGGGCTCTGGAAATTTTCGGCCACTTGGATTTTTTTTTCAACGTGCATAAATCCAAGTAAAACGGGCCTGTAGCATTCTGCCTCGATAGAAATGCAGCCGAGATTCCATCCAGCGACCTTGGCGTCAGCTTAGTCGAGCACCAACGCGGCGGGAATGGTGGGAATGGTGTGATCTGGTTTGTGAATAAATTTTCAAGTAAAGCGTACGTATCTGTGTGCGCGTGTGAAGCGGAAATCCAACTGTGCTCGTTGCTAAAACAGTGCTTGTTTCGCAAACTGTATTCCCTGTAGTGCAAATCCAAGTTTTAACCAGCTTTGACATAAAATGCACGCTGCCTCGGTGCAAAATCTGATAGCTCTGCGAGCGCAGGTGCGATCCCGAGCATCGTAGTAGTCCGCCATGTCACCTGTAATTGGCTCAAAGTACAGCCCCTCTGGATTTATTGGCTCAAAACGTCGCCGTTGAGGAATTTCGCAATATCGGGAAATTCGGCAATGTCCCCAACAGCGAGTGGTGCGATAAACGATAACGTAAAACTAGGCGTGCGCCCATGTAACGGCCAGAAATTGCGTGATGCCATCGTTATCGCACAATTCACTCAGTTTGCCGTCACGGAGTACTGTCCTTGGCGGGAAGTGTGCGGGAATGTTTCAGCGATCATTTTATATAGACGGTTTCAAGATTGTAAGCGTCGTACACCAAAAAACTTCCGGTCACCTCATTTACCGGCTCCTAACGTCGAAACTGAAAGCATGTTTTCAAGTTTTTCTTTTATTTGATGATTGATATGTGGGGTTTAACGTCCCAAAACCACTATATGATTATGAGAGACGCCGTAGTGGAGGGCTCCGGAAATTTAGACCACCTGGGGTTCTTTAACGTGCACCCAAATCTGAGCACACGGGCCTACAACATTTCCGCCTCCATAGTTTTTTTCTTTTCAAGAGTAAAGAAAGTCTCTTTAGTTTTTTTGATAAAAGGAACGTGCGTGAAGTTCAAGGAAATCTCTTGTAATTTTTGTGTAGCTCAATAGAAAATTTATTTGATATATTTTGCCAAAGAAGGAAAGAAAAGCGTGGAAAATCGGCGGAGCTATTTTCTAAAGCTCTTCTTGCCCTCCGATGCTATTCGGTGGACCAGACCGGATGCCATCAAGGGCCTGACTTTGTAAACAGTGGAAGGCGCTGTGTTTGAGTGTTTGAAGTTCTTTGAGCACTCAAGCCGTTGAGAGGCAGCAAAATCGTCGAAGAGACGGAAGTCGGTGAATCACACAAAACTGTTCCACCTGCCGAAGGTGGTGCACAATCGGGGCGATTTCACGAAGTCGATAAGCGCGAAGCGGCGCACTTTAGTGGCACGTAAACAAGGCACACCGGTGGATGTGCGGCGCCAACTTAGCGACTTAGAAGTGTGGCAGCTTGGGCTAGTTGGTATGACATGACGATAGTTATAGCGCGAGAACAGAACGACCGACAAAGAGGTCACTTCGTGTCCTTCTTGCCTCTTTGTCGTCGTTCTGTTCTCGCGCTATAACTATCGTCCAACTTTGCATCTGGTGACCTGCAAAACATTTTTTCTGATTATCGAAACGCTAGTGCACACGACGAAAAAAGCGACAAAAGTAGCATGCATAGAGGGGCCACCCAAAACCAGTGTGATGAGACAAATTCCGATTGGGAACCGACGCTTCTGCTGGAATGCAGCGTCGCGTCATAAACACACTTCGCGCCAAGACAGTGTGAAAAGACAGAAAGACGAGCCCGGCGTCCTTCAGTGCATTAAACCACTGAGGCAGATGTAGCTGAGTCGATCGACACCTGCTGCGGCTATTTAGAGCGGCGACGCAGGGAGGACCGTCCCCAACCGAAAGACAAAATGTGCGCGGTAGCAAAGGAGCCTGCGCTTTGATAGCCTTACTAAGAGAACGCTTTCGTAGCCACGAAGCTCGAGGGGTAGACATGTCGGCCACGCCTCCCCGTACACGTAATATTCACGTGGAGCATTGACGCCCTTCAGCGCCCGATCGCAGCGCGTCAACTACGTCGCACATAAGCAATTTCCTAATAAACTGAGCGTAGTATACCGTGCTCAGCGGCTCTACTTTGGTAGTCACCGACATTGCGCCCGAAAAGTCACTAAAACATCACTGACACTTCGAGTCAACGAAAACTCTGATTGGCGCTGCACAGAACGAAGCAAAGCGAGAGAACAGCTCTTCCCCCGATATGGCCGCCGCTTTGACGGAGGGACGATGACGTTACAGTGTACTTCTAGTACACTCTAGTGACGTCGCGTGCAAGCCGTGTCACGTGCAAGCCGATAGTACTTCGTGATTGGTCGAACTATACTTCCGCCCATGCCGACTGCACATGGTTGGTCGTCGCGGGATGCAACGACAGTCGCGCAAACTGCCCGTCGCATTAGAGGTTGGTGGACGGTTGAGCTTACTTAGCTTTCTTCAAGAATAGCGTGATCGTGCGTAAAGCCCCTTAATATAGAGAAAGTAGCGACACTCTCCTCCATATCCTCTCCAAAGTGTCCAGACCTAATTTATATCCTCTCCCGAACAGCCACCGTGCGGGCGCCAGCCCTATTACCCGGCCCGTGCCACTTTCCTATCAAGAATGCTATGTCACGCTGTTAACACGCGCGATGCTCGTAGCGGCCCGAAAAGCGGGAGAGGAGTATGCTTGGCGTGGCGGCTCGGTTAAAGGAATGGCGGTACTTTCCTAAAAATATCCAGGGTCTTTAATCGTGCGCCATTCGTATCGCCCGCTCAGTCGGTAGCCATGCTTCAATTGCCTCTCGGTGACACCTGAACCGTGCCGGAAGGATAGGAACGTGCTGAAACTTCGGTTGCTTAAAGATATCCTACGATGCCTACTGCATGTACAGATGCGAAGTTCACGCAACGCCATAACCACGGTGACCATAACTCTTCCCCTGTGCAAATCATTTAAGGGCTCACTGTACGCGTCCGTAAAGCAGCACGCAAACCTACTCAGCTGCTCACTTTGTTGATGATGATTAAATATGCCTGAGCGCATTGTAATGGATCGGCTTTTGAAGCACCCGCTCGTTGAACACTTCACCCGTTTTTTCTGCCACGAAATACCACATGCGTTAAGGAGACTCCTTACGCTACGTGATATCCACATAGCTTTTTTTTTTTTTTTAGTTCCAAGCAATCGCGTGGCTCTGTGGCGGAACATCTGCTTGCCACGAAGGGCGCTTGGTTTCCATTCCCGTACGATACGATTTTTATTATTTATTTGCATTTTGTGTGGAATTTTCGCTCACGGAC